TCCCGCGGAACATCTCGGCGGGCAGCCTGGGCTCCCTGCTGGTGCACCACCACAGCACCAACCACGTGGCTGAGGGCAGCGAGCCGGCCGTCACCGAGCCCCTCATAGCTGGCCACGCCGGCGAGCACGACACGCGCATCGACGTGGAGCGGGAGGTGGGTGCCGCGGCCCCCCAGCCCTGCCCGGCCCTGGGGAACGGCCCTGACCCCAGTCCCCCACTCTGTCCCCACAGAGGGAGGTCCTCACTCCCACACCCCCAGCCGGCATCACTCGCTCCAAGTCAAAGCACGAGCTGAAGCTGCTGGAGAAGATCCCGGACAATGCTGAGGCCACAGTGGTGCTCGTGGGTATGGAGGGGTGGGCGGGCCAGGGGCGTGGGCACCTCACACCGGGCAGCCTGGTGACCCCTGTGCCCCCTGTGCCCCCCAGGCTGCGTGGAGTTCCTGGACCAGCCCACCATGGCCTTTGTGCGGCTGCAGGAGGCGGTGGAGCTGGACGCGGTGCTGGAGGTGCCGGTGCCTGTGCGCTTCCTCTTCGTGCTGCTGGGCCCCAGCAGCACCCACATGGACTATCACGAGATCGGGCGCTCCATCTCCACCCTCATGTCCGACAAGGTGCTGCCCTGGGCACGGGGGTCCTGCTGGGCGGGGGTCCGGCTGTGCCAGGCCGAGGGGTGTGGGGCTGTACCAGGGTGGGGTTCAGGGCGCTGCTGGGGCAGGAGCTGCAGCCTGTGCTGGGCAGAGCTCAGGGGTTTGTGCCAGGGCTGGGGGCTCCGGGCCGTGCCAGGACCAGGGCCACCCTACAGCCGTGGGCTCGGGGCTGCGCGGTGCCGAGCTCTCAGGTGCCACAGAGCCCTGCTGTGGGCACTGACCCTGCCATGGCCCCCCAGCAATTCCACGAGGCTGCCTACCTGGCTGACGACCGTCACGACCTTCTGAATGCCATCAACGAGTTCCTGGACTGCAGCGTGGTGCTGCCGCCGTCCGAGGTGCAGGGTGAGGAGCTGCTGCGCAGCGTCGCCCACTTCCAGCGCGAGATGCTGAAGAAGAGGATGGAGCAGGAGCGGAGGCTGCTGCTGGAGCCCAAGTCCCCTGAGGAGAAAGGTGCTGGGCTGGGGCCAGGGCGGGGTTTGGGGTGGCCCAGCTGTTGGGGTCTCACTGTCTCTGTCTGTGCATCCGCTCGCCCCCAGCTCTGCTGAAGCTGAAGGTGGTGGAGGACGAGGCCGAGGAGGACGACGACCCCCTGAGGCGCACGGGGCGCCCCTTTGGGGGGCTGATCCGGGACGTGCGGCGGAGGTACCCCCAGTACCTGAGCGACTTCCGTGATGCGCTGGACCCCCAGTGCATTGCTGCCGTCATCTTCATCTACTTCGCTGCGCTGTCGCCTGCCATCACCTTCGGGGGGCTGCTGGGTGAGCGGAGCTGCCGGGCGGTGCAGCTGCGGGGGCTGCAGGCGCTGCTGCCCGCTCTCTGTGCCCATCCCGACGGCGTGCTGAGCCTGTGCTGCCGCAGGGGAGAAGACGCAGGACCTGATCGGGGTGTCGGAGCTGATCATCTCCACGTCGCTGCAGGGCGTCCTCTTCTGCCTGCTGGGTGCTCAGCCCCTGCTTGTCATCGGCTTCTCGGGGCCGCTGCTGGTCTTTGAGGAAGCCTTCTTCACGGTGAGGTGCTGGGGTCTGCCCTGGGGGCTGGGGAGACAGCCCTGCCCAGCCCCACTGCCCTGGGCAGACATCCTTGCAGCCCCACTGCCAGGCTCTGCCCCACTGCCCGGGGCTCTGTCCAGCCCTGTGACCGTCCTGACACCTGTCTGTCCATCCATCTGTCTCACGGCTGGGCAGTTCTGCATGTCCAATGAGCTGGAGTACCTGGTGGGGCGCGTCTGGATCGGCTTTTGGCTCATCCTCATCGTGCTGGTCATGGTGGCCTTTGAGGGCAGCTTCCTGGTGCGTTTCGTCTCCCGCTTCACCCAGGAGATCTTTGCCTTTCTCATCTCCCTCATCTTCATCTATGAGACCTTTTCCAAGCTGGCCAAGGTGAGCAGTGGGTGAGCCGGGGGGCTGCCTCAGGGCCAGGCAGGATGGGGTGAACATCCCATCCTCCTGCTCCAGATCTTCCAGGAGCACCCGCTGCACGGCTGCCTGAGCGCCAACAGCTCGGCCGAGGCCTGGGGCAACGGCACCGTGGCCGAGGCCAACACCACAGCCCTGGCCACCAGCCCGGCTGCCCGCGGCGTCACCAAGGTCACGGGGCAGCCCAACACGGCGCTGCTCTCCCTCGTGCTCATGGCCGGCACCTTCTTCATCGCCTTCTTCCTGCGCAAGTTCAAGAACAGCCGCTTCTTCCCCGGACGGGTGCGTGGGGACGGCCGTGCGGCCGTGGGGCTGGGGTGAGCCTGGGGGCTGTGGGGCCGGGACGAGCCCAGGGGTCTGCGGTGAGCCAGGAGGGCTGTGGCCAGGCTGGCACTGGTGTTCCCCCAGATCCGGAGGCTCATCGGGGACTTCGGGGTGCCCATCGCCATCCTGGTGATGGTGCTGGTGGACTACAGCATCCAGGACACCTACACACAGGTGAGCAGCCACCCGCCCCCTGCCTGGGCAGGATGCCTAACCTCACACCCTGCTAGGGACCCCTGTGCCCTGTCCCACTGTCCTGGCTGTGGGTCAGCAGCTCTGTCTGTCCCCAGCATGGCTGCACCTGCTCAGTGCCAGCACCTGACCTTCCCTCTCCCTCTGAGTCTGGCTTCTGGGGGTCCCGGTGCCTCCATGGCCCCCTCACTCTATGGGGCACAGCCCCTCTCAGCATTTGTCTCCACCTCCCCCTGCAGAAGCTGAGTGTGCCCAGTGGGTTCTCGGTGACAGCCCCGGACAAGCGGGGCTGGGTGATCAACCCCCTGGGTGTGCAGAGTGCCTTCCCTGTGTGGATGATGGTGGCCAGCGGCCTCCCCGCCATCCTCGTCTTCATCCTCATCTTCATGGAGACCCAGATCACCACGTGAGTGCAGTGGGGGTGAGCAGGGGGTGTGGATGGCCAAGGGGGAGCCCGTGCCGTGCCAGCTGCCTGCCCTGGTTCCCAGGCTGATCATCAGCAAGAAGGAGCGGATGCTGCAGAAGGGCTCCGGGTTCCACCTCGACCTCCTGCTCATCGTGGCCATGGGTGGCTTCTTTGCGCTCTTTGGGTTGCCCTGGCTCGCCGCAGCCACCGTGCGCTCCGTCACCCACGCCAACGCCCTCACGGTCATGAGCAAGGCCGTGGCACCTGGGGACAAGCCCAAGATCCAGGAGGTGAAGGAGCAGCGGGTCACCGGGCTGCTGGTGGCCGTGCTTGTGGGTAGGTCCGGCCCTCAGGTCCTGGGGGGACTGCAGCGCAGTGGGGAGGGGGGCTGGGGAGCCATGGGGGCTGCGGTGGGGAGGGGGCAGTGTGGGGAATGGAGCTGGGGCGCCCTGAGCCACAGCCAAATTGGTGTGGCCATCATGTCCACAGTGGACACGGGGGTGCGGGACCCTCCCCGTGCGAGGGGGTTAAGTGGGCAGGAGGAATTGGGGCTGGAGGGCTGTGCCGAGCCCCCTCCCCAGGCTGACGCTGCTCCGGCCCAGGGCTGTCCATCGTCATCGGGGACCTGCTGCGGCAGATCCCGCTGGCCGTGCTCTTCGGCATCTTCCTCTACATGGGCGTCACCTCCCTCAATGGCATCCAGTTCTACGAGCGCCTGCAGCTGCTGCTGATGCCCCCCAAGCACCACCCCGATGTCACCTACGTCAAAAAGGTGGGGAGGGGGCCTGGGCAGGCAGGACCCTTGTCTGGGACAGCAGCCAGGCTGCGCTCCCTTGTGTGGGGGCACTGCGGTGTCTGCGGGTCAGGCTGTGGCAGAGCCCTGTTCAGGGGGCAGAGGGGGCACACCGGGGACTCTGGGGGTGCCCTGGGCCGAGCTGTGGGAGGGGGACACAGACCCCGGCCCTGACACCCGTCTGTGCCCAGGTGCGCACGCTGCGCATGCACCTGTTCACCGCGCTGCAGCTGGCCTGCCTGGCCGTGCTCTGGGCCGTCATGTCCACTGTGGCCTCCCTGGCCTTCCCCTTCATCCTCATCCTCACGGTGCCGCTCCGCATGTGCCTGCTCAGCTGTATCTTCACCGACCGGGAAATGAAGTGTGTAAGTGCCTTCGTGGCTTGTCCCCACGGGGAGGCGGTGGCGGTGGGTTCCCGGGGCCGGGGGTTCCCGGGGACGGTGGGTTCCCGGGGCTGGGGGGTTCCCGGGGCCGGGAGTCGGTGGGCTCCCGGGGGCGGTGGGTTCCCGGGGTTCCCTCGCCGCCCTCAGCCGCCGTGTTCCGCAGCTGGACGCAGCCGAGGCCGAGCCCATCCTGGACGAGCGGGAAGGTGTGGACGAGTACAACGAGATGCCGATGCCGGTGTGACGGCGCCAGCGGCTCACGGGTGGCGGTGGGCACGGCGGGACCCCCGCGGGGACCGGGCCCTGCGCTCGGGAGGGCACTGCCAAAGGGACACCGGCCCCAGGCTCAGCCCCGCGGTACAGCCCCTCGGACAGCTGCTGCGAGCCCCCCGGACAGGGTCACCTCGGACAGGGTCACCTCGGACAGGGTCACCTCGGACAGGGTCACCTCGGACAGAGCCCCCCGGGACGGGGTCATCTCGGACAGGGTCACCCCGGGACAGGGTCACCCCGGACAGAGCCCCCCGGGACAGGGTCACCCCCGGGACAGGGCCCCCCTGGGACAGGGTCACCCCGGACAGAGCCCCCCGGGACGGGGCCCTCCAGCCCCTCGGCTCCCGCCCCAGCCTCAGGCGTCAGCTGAACCCCGCCGGGGTTTACGAACAGGCAATTCAAAGGCAATAAACAGCTTTATTCTGAGCACGGGGCTCAGGGCACAGGTGCTGGGGACCCCCCTGCCAAGGGGGGCCTGCTCCGGGCAGGCCCTGGGGGGCTACCGGGGTGGGGCCGGGGCCCTCCCGCTGCCTTCAAGTAATAAAGAGACCGGACTTTGCACACTTTTCACCAGTTTTATTGGAAAGTTCCCCTTTCCCTAACACCCCCCTCCTCCGGGCCCAGGCCCTGGGAACAGCCCCATGTGCACACCCGCTCCCGGCCCTGCACGGGACCCCTGCGCCCCACGGAGGGGCCAGGCCCAGCACCCCAGCCCAGAAGCCGTGCTGGGGACACAGGGATCACCCCAGTGCCCAGGGAAGTCCAGGCCAGGCCCAACAACAGCAACAGACCGGGCTGAAGTGGCAGAGCCGGGGCAGGGGGGCCATGAGGGACCTTCCCCAGTAACTCCCCCCACCCCCCCAGCACCCCTCAAGTCACACCCCGGCCCCCCATAACAGCAATAAATAATCTCACACTCCCCCAGCCCCACTGCAGGAGCAGGTGCCCACGGCCTGGCCCCACAGCCTGACCCCCCAAGATGGGGAGCATCTCCATATCCCCCTGACCCCCGCGATGGGGGGCAGCTCCGTATCCCCCTGCACAGGGGAAGGGGCTGGCAGCACCCACCTGGCCCCCCACACCCCCCGGATCCGTCCCTCAGAAGCGCAGCTCCCTCAGCTTCTGCCGCAGGTAGTGCTTGGCCTCCTCGATGCCACTCACCTTCTCCAGCTCCGTGTAGGGCAGCTGTGAGGGGACAGGGACGATGTCAGAGCGGGGACAGCATGTCTGGCCCCACCTGTATCCCCAGTACCTCCAGCCCCTGCCCCACTCAGCCTTCTGTGGTGGTGGGAGGAAGAGCCAGGACACAGATCCCTCCCTGGAGAAGGAAGGCAGCGCAGCTCCTGCCGAGGGCACGGACAGAAGTGTGGGCACTGGCACGGCAAGTGCAGACAATGCCCGGCTCCAGGCTCGTCAGCCTGAGCTCAGCCCTGGACAGGTGGTGCAGGCACACAGAGGGAGGAATCTCAAGCCTCACCCCACCCTCGAGCCCCTGTCAGCACCCTCCATGGAAGGTGACAGGGAAGTGCGGGAGGGGGACTGGAAACCCTGCGGGTCCAACAGCCCTGAGGGCACCAGCAGCACTCACAGAGCAGGACTGAGGGTCACTGGGACCCGTGCTCCAGCCACTGGCAGCACAGGGCAGGAATAAAGTTTCCGCGGGCTGGAGCCCCTCAACCCGCAGGTGAGAGCTGGGGGTGTTCACCTGGAAAGAGAAGGCTCTGGGGAGACCCTTTAGAGCCCCTTCCAGTGCCTGAAGCTGCTCCAAGAGAGTTGGAGAGGGACTTTGGTCAAGAGCCCGGAGGGACAAACAATGGGGAATGGCTTCCCACTGCCAGAAGGCAGGGATGGGTGGGATATTGGGAGGAATTCCTGGCTGGGAGGGTGGGCAGGCCCTGGCAGAGGGTGCCCAGAGAAGCTGTGGCTGCCCCTGGAAGTGTCCAAGGCCAGGCTGGACACTGGGGCTTGGAGCAGCCTGGGATAGTGGAAGGTGTTCCTGCCCATGGCAGGGGCTGGCACTGGATGGGCTTTAAGTTTCCCTCAGCTGGGTCCCTGCTGTGCCTTCTGCAGGAGGGACACCGCCCTGGCCAGCCCAGCCCAGCCCAAACACCAGCTCAAGGGAGAGCTGGCCCTGCTCCAGCCTCGCTGCTGGGCAGCTCCCAGGTGATTCCTCAGCCGAGTCACAGGACTGGAGCTCTGCACAAACACGGATGGGGCTCTGGGCTGCTGAGCTAAATGAGGAGGGAGCTGTGGCTGGCACAGCCTGGCAGCAGCAGGGAATGAAACTGTTTAGGAAAGGCTGTGGGATGGCACGGTGAAGGCACTGCTGCAATCCTGGTCCTCTCTGCAGTGCAAGAGTGAACAGGACAGAGGGCTCATTTCCAGTGCCATTTTCCTCAGAAAGACTCATCCTCAGGCTAAAACCACCCACAGAGTAGCACGTGGGAGCTGCACATCCCAAACCAACACCTGGAGTTTGCCAAAGGAGCTGCACACCTGAGGGCTCTCCTAGTCCCAGCATTCGGCAGGGAGCAGCTGGGGCTGGAACCAGGGCGGGCAGGGCTCTGGCACAGGAGGTGAACCAACCTCCCCGCAGCCCCCTCGGCACATGGGATCACCACATGAGGACCCACGTGTGTCCCCCCACCTGATGCTGCCACTGTGGCTGTGTCTGCCACCCTGGCTGAACACCCTCCCTTTCCCCTTCCCCTCGCTCAGGTCGGCTCTTAGCGCACAGGACAGACTGTCCCTTGTCTCTGCTTTCCATCAGGTCTGGTGTCACCCACCAGCTGCATGGAAAAAGTCCTGCATGGGGTGGGGGAGGGCGAGGAGACATGAGGATGAGTCAGCCCTGCTTCCTCTCACAGGGACAGGAGTGTTTACACTGGGGATGCCAGGTCGATGCCAGCTCATAGCCCATCACCCAGTGTGCCCCTGGCCCCGAGGGGACAGTCCCACCTACCTGCACCAGACAGTATCCCAGCAGCCGCAGGTGCCGGTCCCGCATGGCCCGGGAACCCACCAGGATGTCGGAGTTCTGGCAGTAGTGCCACTTGTCATTGACCGACAGCACCACCCTGTACAGTGGACAGCGGGAGTGTGGCGTCACCGCACGGCACAGCACCAGCCCGCCCCATGGACCCTGCTCTCAGCACCAGAAGGCTGAAGAGCAGCTCCCCAGCCCAGCCCAGACCCTGCTGGTGGCAGGGACAGCAGTGTGGGGACAAGCCCAGACCCTGCTGGTGGCAGGGACAGCAGTGTGGGGACAAGCCCAGACCCTGCTGGTGGCAGGGACAGCAGTGTGGGGACAAGCCCAGCCCCTGCTGGTGGCAGGGACAGCAGTGTGGGACGAGCCCAGACCCTGCTGGTGGCAGGGAGAGCAGTGTGGGGATGAGCCCAGCCCCTGCTGGTGGCAGGGACAGCAGTGTGGGGAGGTGGGTCTGTGGGTGCCCCAGGGCACGGGCAGGGAGGGGCCAGGGCCGAGTGTCTCAGCCAGCAGGAGGCCAGGGCAGTGCCAGGGTGGCTGTCCTGCTGGAAGGGACCAGGGACATTCCCGGGGACTGGGACGTGGCCCTGCCCGTACCTCTGGATCTCCTCGGCGCCCTGTGGCCCTTCGCCCGGGCCCCGCTTGGGGCTGGGCCGGCACGGCGAGGGCGGGGGGCCGGCGTCCTCGCTGGCCGGGGGGCTCCGCTCCTCGGGCTGCTCCTGGGCCTGCTCCCCCTGGAAGCAGCCGCGCTCCTGGCCGGGGCAGCCCGCGGCCTCCTCCTCCTCCTCCTCCAGGATTTTGGCGATGGGGAACTGGAAGAGGGAGGCGGTGGAGGTGCGGGGGGAGCAGTCGGGGGTGCCGGGCGGCGGCGCCGAGAGGCACTCAGAGGGGCTGCTGAGCGTGGAGCTGGCCGGGCTGGCCAGGGACGGCTCCTTGCTCAGCCCGCAGTAATAGTCCGAGGGCGGCTGGAAGCAGGGTCCCCCCGGGGCCGGGCACAGCGCCGGCAGGAACCGCCCGGCCCGGCCGCTCTCCCGGGGCCCTGGGGGGCTGCTGGGCGCCTCCGGAGCAAACGGGGCAAAGTCCTGCAAATCTGAGGTGAGGGCGAGGACGCTGGACCGCAGGGACACGGCGACAGGGGACGTGGCCGGGGGGGCCCTGGAGGCTGCCGGAACGCGCGAGAGAGGCAGCACCGTGCCCGAGCGGTTGATCCACAGCAGGAAGTCTGCGGCAGAGAGAACAGGGATCAGCAGAACTCTGTGCCCCAGCTGGGACTCTGAGCCAGCAAACAGATGCAGGGGAACCCCCCTCCTTTAGCGGGAGGGCTCAGGGAGCTTTGTCCCAAAGGCGGTGTCACAGAAAAGGCAGTGACAAAGCAGCCAGAGCTCATTCTGCCCCAAATGACCTCCCAGGCCCCAGATCCCACCTGGCAGCCCACAGCCCAGGGGGTTACCTGTGCAGTACCCAGGAGGCAGCACCTCGTCCTGCCGGTAGCATTCCTCCCCCACCAGCTGTCGCAGGGCTTCGGCCACCAGCCCCTTGTAGCTGCAAGGAGGGCACAATCAGGGGGGCACTGCAGGGGCTGGCATGTCCCCCAGCACTGCTGGTGCTGAGTACATCAACGTGGAGATGGGAACCCCCAGGAGTGGGATGCACAGGCCTGCAGTTTTGGGCTCTGCTGTTGGGAGTCAAGAGGAGATCTCGGGCTCCAGTTCCTTTTGCAGAAAAGCTCCTTGCAGTACTGGGACACCAAAAGCCCCCCAAAAGGGCTGCCCAGCCCTGGCACCACTGCCCAGGGCAGGGAGGAGTCCCCATCTCTGAGCCACATGGATGTGGCACTTGGGGACATGGTCAGTGGTAGCCTTAGAGTGCTGGGGGACAGGTGGGCTAAGGGACTAGGTGACCCAGCATTGTTATGACACCTTCATCAGATGTGCAGTCCCTTCATGCAAGCACCCTTCCTCCTCTGCCCAGGTCCTGCTGGGGAAATGGGATGTGCAGGATGCACTTTCATAATCGGATTTTTTGCTCTCCTCATTGTCAATCTGAAAGCCTTCACCTGTACACCAGTCTCCTGACCTCCTGCAGGTCCTGCTTCCAGCAGGTGGTATCCCCCAAAATGCGTGGGGTGTGGCGAGGCTGGAGTGGCAGAGAAAGAGCACCAACTGCGTGAATGCCTTGGGAAGGGAGCCTGTGCACCCAGCTTCTGCCCCCCGCTGTTGGTAACTCTGCCTGGACCTGGAGGCCTTTCCAAACCACTTCTCCCTGTACGAGTATCACCTCTTCTTCACTGAGGTCTCCAAGGCTTTCCCAACCCAAACAATTCTGCAATTTTAGGTTATTCTGTGATCCTAGAGTGCCACCCCACAGGCTTTGGGGCTGCCATGGGGGCCTTCATGCCGGCACCACGTGGGATCCTGCCAGAGCAGGTGACAGACGCCCTGTCCCCCCAGCAAGGGGTGGCACAGGCTGCTGCCCTCGGCCCTCACCTGTACTTTCTGTTGGCCTCGTCGGCGGTCAGCGCGTGCTCGAACATGAGGACGCGGTAGCGCGGGTCGAGGCGGGGGCCGCTGTACTCGCGGAACTCCAGCTCCACCGCCGCGTCCAGCAGCGACAGGTAGCGGCGCACGATCAGCGCGTAGGGGCTGCCTGCGGGGCAGCGCGCATGGAGCCCACCGGCACCGGCTGCACCGGCTCCCCGGCCCACCCCGCCACCGGGACCACCCCTACCCCCGCTGGGAGCACCCCAGCAACGGCCCCACGTACTCATGACATTGGTGATGAAGCCTGGGGAGAAGACCTGGTGCAGGACGGTCTGCGGGAAGTGGCTGAGCTGGAACATGGACATGAGGATGTTGACGGTGGCCAGCGGGGAGCTGCCGGCCTTCTGCTCCAGGATGGCCTCCAGCTTGGGGAAGAGCTCGCCGTGGTTGGAGGGGCGGTAGTTCATCCGGCTGAAGGGAAACACCAACTTCTGGATCACCTGCGGCAAGAGAGGCGCGTGGGGCTGGGGTGGGACGAGGGACAGGTCGGGGCCACCTGCCCAGTGCCGTGGAAAGACGGATGCTCAGAACCCGCCGGGACTGGGGCACGGCCCCTGGAATACCCCATCGTGATGGAGGAGGGCCACGGCTCCTCTGCCCAGGTGCACCCACAGACGGAGGTGAGCGCTCACCTTGCTGTCGAGCTGCTCGCCGCGCTTCAGCAGGAAGTTGGCGATGGTGTCGAGCAGCCGCGGCTCGCGCAGCCGGTGCCGCGCCACGTACTTGGCGATGAGTGCCATGGTGTAGGGGGTGAGGTTCTCTGCCTTCCGGGGCAGCCACTCTGCCGAGCCAACACAGCGGGGAGGCCGTCAAAGGGGCCAGCTCTGTCCCCACCCCAGGTCCTCTGCAGCCACCACAGCCCAGGCACGTGGGAGGACAGGACTGGACAGGAGCGCCAGTCCCAAAAACCTCAAGAGCCAGGCAGCTCCTAAAACCTCTCAGGTATGGGTCGGGTGAGAGGCTGAGGCAGATTCCTGTCGTACACAGCCAGAAGGCACAGATGGAGCACAGCTGGAACATGCACAGGTGGGGCCTTCTGCAAAACCTCACCAACACTCCACTGTGCCCAGCCTGGAGGCACCGTGGGAAAACAGTCCCTGAAAGAATGGGGGCTCCTGGTCCCTCCCAGTCCCTAGAGGAATGGGGGGCTCCCAGCCTGTCAGAGGGCTGGGCTGTCAGTGACAAGGGTGGCCATGACACAGGGATCCTTCTGCTCCAGTTCTGCGGCTCGCAGGGTCTCAGCTGAGGCTGCACCACCCAAACACGCCCAGGGCCAGGGAAGGCATCTGCAAGGCTGCCCCCCACCCGGCCAAAGGCCCCCATGTCCTCTGCCTGACCAGAGCTCCGCACCCACCCCCAGTGCAGGTGGCAACGCCGCACCCCACCTGGGCACCCCTCACCTGCCATGCTGCGAATGAAGCGCTCCTGCCGGTTCTCGTAGAAGAGCTGGGAGCTGAAGATGGCCTCCAGGGCCTTGTTGTTGGCCTCCTGGGCACACAGGGCCAGCATCTCGTCCAGCAGCGCCAGCTCGTGCTCCCTCATGGCGCTGACCTGGCCCAGCGTGTGCCGCACCAGGCGCAGGATCTTGCGGTTGTTGATGAGCTGCTGGTCGGAGGCGGCGTGGCCCTGCAGCGCCTGCGCCCGCAGCCGGTAGTAGGAGAGCAGCAGGAAGAGGGTCTGGGGGTGCCGCTCCTTCTCCAGGTGCCGCTCCAGGCTGCTGAGGCAAGACTCCACCAGCGGGTGGGGGCTGGAGGGGTGCAGCCGCATCACGCTGCTGAACACCATCGACACGTCCTTCTGGTTGAAGCGGCCCAGGCGGCTGCGGGACTCGTCCTCCAGCACCCGCACGAGCGGCGACTCCCCGGGCAGACCTGGGGGTGAGGGGCACAGGCACGGCTCAGACAGGGCACGGATCACAGCTCAGCCCTGTGGACGCGCCTCAGCTCCACGGCACAAACAGGAGGCCACTGCCACGACTGGATGGATGTGCTGATCAGTGACCAAACCGAGAAGGGCAAGGGAGGGGAAGGCAAAACACCGGCAGAACGTCAGAGCACCCGCACCATGGGAAACACTGCGTGGAGCTGTGGGGTCATTCCCACCCATCCCACTGGAATGGGAGCCCTGCAGCTCACCCACAGCAGCAAGGCTCATTTCCTAAGGCTCAGACATCTCAAAGACAAGCAATTCATAGAATCCCAAAATCTCAGACTGTTTTGGGTAGGAAGGAACCTTAAATCCCATCCAGTTCCACCCCTCTGCCATGAGCGGGGTCATGTCCACTAGACCAGGTTGCTCCAACCTGGTCTGGAGCACTTCCAGGGGCTCTGGGCACTGAAAAAACTCACCTCAAAAAGTTCATAAAAAAAGTTGTGGTTGGAAAACAACTGCGACATCCCACGTGACCAAACTAAACCCTGTTTGTTCCAGCAGGGACTAATCCTTTGGCTTTTTTGACCTTCTCCTGTTTCCCAGCTCAGCTTTAGCTTGTGCGACCTGGCTCCCAGGGAAACACTTCCCTGCAGCTCAGGACGTGTTATCCAGGCCTGGGCACGGGCTCAGTGCCTCGGCTGTCAGGAGGGATCTCCTCAGCAGAGGCAAAGAGCACTGGAGGGGCCTGGATTTCCCCATCACCCCAGGATTCGGGCACAGGCCGCAGGGCAGTGCAGGGCGAGTCACTGCGGGTTATTGTTAATCAGAGCTCAGCTGGGGGAACGTGCAGAATTGGTCTGAGCAGCCGCTTTGTTCCGTGAAAAGGCCTCAAAAGAAAGCTGGAGTTTGTGTTAATGAGGGACAAGGGGGCAGAACGAAGTGGGGGGCACGGCAGAGCTGTGGGGGGCCCAGCATGGGGAGCCTGGGGAGGGCAGCGGCGCCGGCAGCCCCGGCTCAGTGTCAACAAACAGCCGGCGCCGCCGGCCCGGGACAGAGCGCAGCACCGGCCCCCCCAGCCAGGCAGGGGCTCGAGTTACTGCGGCCGGCCCGGCAAGGCTGCGGGAACGGCAACAAGAACAGGATGGGGGGAGCTACGGGCAGGAGGGCAGGCACCCGCCAGATCGTGGAATCCTGGAATTGTTTGGGTTGGAAGGGCCCTTAAAGATCATCCAGTTCCAACCTCCTGCCGTGACCAGGGACACCTTCCACTAGACCAGGTTGTTCCAAGCCCCATCCAACCCAGCCTTGAACACTTCTAGGGATGGGGCAGCAACAGCTTCTCTGAGCAACTTGTGCAGGGCCTCCCAACCCTCCCAGGGAAGAATTCCTTCCCACTATCTCATCTAGTCCTGCCCTCTGGCTGTGGGAAACCATTCCCCCTTGTCCTGTCCCTCCAGGCCCTTGGCCAAAGTCTCTCTCCAGCTCTCAGAGCATATCTGTGGCCTCCTCTAGGCTCGCTCCATGTCTTTCTGCTATTGGAATTCAGAGCTGGGAACAGCCCTGCAGGTAGGGCCCTACGTGAGTGGGACAGAGGGGAAGATTCCCTCTACTGCCCTGCCGTCCACTTCTCTTTGGATGTGGACCCCATCCCCTTCCTTGCAGCAGGAGAGCTTGCGGGGTCACCCCGGCCCACAGAAGGAGGCACCTCTGGGATGCAGCCTTCCCTGGGACACAGCCCCTTGGGATGCGGCCTCCCCAGCTCAGCAGCACCCCAAGGAGCTGCACAGGAGCCCAGATACCTCAAACCCTCTCTCCCACACAGCAACACCCGGTGACACGGGGCTTGTGCCCTCCGAGAGTGCAGCCAAACCCATGGTCTCCCCCATCGGTGCTCAGGTGTTTCACGGTTTTCAGGGCTTGGCACTCCAGCTGGAACAGACAGGGCCCAGGGGCGGCTGATACACATCCTGCCAGGCAGGGCTGCCCAGCATCGACCTCCCGGTCAGATACGGACACTCAGCCCGCCTGCCCTGGAGGAGCAGCACAACCCTGCTGAGCTGAGCCCCCGAGCCCTGCCCAGAGCCCCCAGTGCTCACAGCCCCATGTGCCACGGACCCAGCACCACCGAAACGCCACGGAGCCGGCCCTGGCGCTGCCGCAGCGCTGTGCTCCCCACCCCAGCGCCCCGCAGCTCACCCAGCGCGGCCGCCGCGTACAGGCAGTTGACGATGCTGAAGTTGTCGAACTTGGCGCAGCCGCTGACGATGGCCTGGCAGAGCACGTGGAACTCGGGCTGCTCCAGCACCTGCCCCGCGGGCCCGCGGCTGTCCCCGGCCCCCACGGGCGGCCCCGGCTGCTGCTGCAGGAGCTGCCCCAGCTTGTGAAGCGCTATGGGGTAGTGGCTGGCCGACACCTTGCCCGGGTTCTGCGTGACCCAGCGCAGCACCTCGCCCACGCTGCGGGAGCGCTCAATCAGCCGCTTCATGGTGAAGAAGGTGTCGTAGCTCATCTTCTCGTGGATGAAGTTCCAGCTCTTCCTCTTGCCGTGGGCCCGGCCCCGGCCGCCGTCCGTGTGCACGGCGGGCAGCAGCCCATGGCCGTAGGGGTCCAGGGGCAGCAGCAGCCGCGGCCTGGCCTTGCCGGCGCAGCAGCAGGCGGGGAACATCGCGGCACCGCGGCGCTCACGGGCAGCCGGGCCCCGCGGGCCCGCCCGGGTCAGAGCGCGGAGCCATGGGCACAGCAGCGGGCACAGCATGGCGGGGGCGGCGCGGCGCGGGGGGCTCCGCGGCTCCGGAGGACCCTGCGGGACAGAGCGGCGGGCCCGTGACGGGGGGACCCGCGGGCCGGCCGGGGGGCAGGGGCGGCCGCTCCCCCCACCCACCGGGATCCCCGCCCCCGGGCGCCCGCACGGCTCCCCGGTACCGGGCCCGCCGCCCTGTCCGGGCCCGCGTCCCGCCCGGCCCCGCCTTGCCGGGACCTCCCGCCTGCCCGGTGTCCCCCGCCCCTCTCCCGGGCATACCCCGACCTCCACCGGCACCAGGCCCGCCCGGGTCCCCCCGGCGGGACTCCCTGCCCCCCCCACGCGGCCCGGCCGTACATGGCGCTGGCGGCCGCTCGCTCCCGCCGCCACGGCCGCCGCTCAGCGCCGCCGGGGCACGGGCACGGCCCGGGAGCGCAGCCCCGCCGCCATCTTCCCGCGGGCCCGCCCCGCGCGCGGCGCTTCCGGGGCGGGGCCGGCGCGCGCCGCATGCAAATCAGCGCCGCACCTCCGCCAATCAGCGAGCGCTCCGCTGAGAGCGGGGCGGTGCCTCCGGCGCAGGCGCACCACGGCCCTGCGGAGCGCGCGGCGGGAGGAGCCAGGCCCCGCCCCTCCCGCTGCCCCGCCCGGTTCCCGGTTCCCGGTTCCCGGTCACACACCGCCGCCCCGCTTCCCGCTTCCCGGTCACACACCGCCGCCCCGGTTCCCGGTTCCCGGTCACACACCGCCGCTCCGGTTCCCCGGTTCCCGGTTCCCGGTCACACATCGCCGCCCCGCCCCGGTTCCCGGTCACGCACCGCCACCGCCGCCGCCTCCCCGGCCCGCGGCGCACCACAGCCGGGACGCCACCGCCGGTCACAGTCTTTCCGCTTTAATCGGAACGGCGGTGGGGGGTGGGACCCCCCAACACAGCATGGGAACCCCCGGGACAGTGGGAGTGCAGCCACCCCCGGCACCGGGACCGCTTGGGGGGCACGAATCCTCCCCCGGCACAGGCACCTCAGGAGCGCATCCCGCCGGCACCAGGAGCCTCGGCACCCCAGGGCTCACGTCCCTCCCCGGGCACCGGGACCCTCGGGAGCTGCCCCAGGGAGGGGCCAGGCCGTATTCCCAGGAGGAGAAGCTCCGCGGGCACGGCCAGCAGCTCGGGCAGGACCGCACCCGAGGGGCTCCTGCACGCCGAGTGCATGGGGGCATGCTGCCAGCAGGGACAGGGGGCACCGGGACCCCCCCCCCGAGGTAGCTGAGCCCCCACTCCCACACAGCCCCTGTGTGCAGACAAGGTGTGGGCGCCTGCTCGGGACTCCAGGGCCCCCGGGGACACAGTCCAGGGCCCAGCGCTCCTCTTCAGCTGCAGCAGGCGGGCCCCACGTGCCCCCAGTATGCTGAGGGGGCTGGATGCAGAGTCCTCCACGTCCCCGGTGGGTCGGGCAGGCTCTGAGGGTCCCAGGTGTGGCTCCAGGTCTCGCGTGTCCCCGGTGCTGGTCCGGGCCGCGCTATCTGCGGTACATGGCGAAGGCCACGAAGGTGACGAGCAGGGTGAGGCCGGCCAGGCAGGTGGTGGCGGTGGCGGTGAAGACGTGCCGGTGCTGCAGCTGCAGGTACCAGAGCAGGGCCAGCAGCAGCACGAAGAGCGGCAGCGCCAGGCTGCCCACGCCCAGCGCGGCGGGCGCGGGGCTGCGGGGACCGGGGGTGCCGGGAGCCGTGGGGGCCGCGCTGGGCGGGGACAGGTGGCAGTGCAGGACGCTCAGGTGGCCCAGGTGCAGCCCTGCCAGGCTCTGGGCATCGTCACGCAGCAGCTGCCCCTGGTAGATCAACCGCACCTGCTGCTCCTGCCCCGGGAAGTAGGTCCTGGAGGAGACGGGGACAGCGGTCACACTGCTGACAGGACTGACCCCCTCCTGTGCCCACGGTGAGCCCTCATGCCACCCGCACTGAGCTGAGCCTGTGTGTCCCCGTCAGCCACCCCAAGTGTCATCCACATCCTATGAACGTGCCCGCCCTGAGCTCCCACCCTGCCCCGCACACTTGTGCCCGCCCAGCTGCCACCTGCCAGGACAGTCCTTCTGCTCACCCCCTGCCAACGCACCCACCACGGCCCTCCCGCCCGCCCCTGCCCTGCCCGCACAGCCGGGCGTGCGTGTGCCCATCAGCCAGCCCAGGTGTCCCGCCAGCACGGGCTGTCCCACGGCTCCGGCGCCCGGGCACGGGCCGCTTGTCCCGGGACAGCGCCGTCCGCACCGGCGCTGCGGGGCGGGCAGGGACGCCCGGCGGGGCCCGGGACCGGCCGCCCCGGCCCGCACGCCCTCACCTCTTGAGCGCCCCGACGGTGTCCCCGGGGCGCACCCGCGCCAGGCGCTCCGTGTCGTTCAGGAACTTGAGCCGCAGCACCAGCGTGGGCTCGGCGGGGCCCTCGGCGCTGGCCGCGGGAGGGCTCCGGTGCCGCGGCCCCGCCGCCTCATCGGAGGCCGCCGCTCCTTCGGCCGGGGCCGGGGCCGGGGCCGGGCTCGGGGCCGGGGCCGAGGCCTTGCGCTCGGCGGGAGCCGTGCTCGGGGCCGCCTCAGCCGGCGGCGCCGCGGGCTCGGGGGCGCGCGTGGAGGCCCAGGCGAGCCCCAGCACGGCGGCCGCCAGCAGCAGCGCGAACAGCACCGTCACCTCATCGCCGACGCCCTCGATGAGCGCCATGGCGGTGTCAGGCGCGGGGGTCGCACCGGAGAGGGCACCGGGCGGGCGCGGCCTCAGCCCGCGGGGCCGCGGGGAACCGGGGCCGCGGCCGCACCGGGCCGGGCTCGGGCCGCCATCGCGCCGCTTCCGGCCAGGCGCGGGGGGCCATGGGACATGTAGTTCCGGCGGTAGGAGCCGTAGCGGGGGTGGGGCGGCGCGCAGAGCACGCCGGGAGTTGTAGTCCCGTCCCGGCGCCAGGCACGCCCGGTGTCATCCCGGTTACCGCCGGTGCACCGGCATTCCCAGTGCGATCCCAGCCCCTCCGACAGCCCCGGCGTTATTCCAGTAACCTGCTGGATGTTCCCACACAGTTCCAGTGTGGTCACAGTTTTACCCAGCATGGGCCCAGCTGCTCCAAATGCGATCCCAGTTGCTGCCAGTATGGGTTCAGTCACTCCTAGTGTAATTCTAATTAACCCAGTTAACCCCAGTATGATGCCATTTGTCCCCAGTGTAATTCCAGTTGCTACCAGTCACCCCCAGTATGGCTCCAGTCACTCCCAGATACTCTAGATACCGACAGGTTTAAATTCCTGTGCATGTGTCACTTGGGGACATGGGTGGTGGTGGCCGGGGCCATGCTGAGGGTGAGTGGGGTCGGGCATCTCTGAGAGTTTTCTACCCTCAGTGATTCTGGAGCTGTGAATGTCCAGGAGTGCTCCAAAGCCACCTGCAGGCTCTGATTAAAATATTTTATATTAGGTGAAAAGTTCTTAGTTTTAGGTTAAAAATTGTTAATTTCAGGTGAAAATGTCTTAATTTTTGGCTAGAAATTGTTCATTTTAGGTGAAAGATTCCTAATTTTAAGTGAAAAGTTCTTGGTTTTATGTAAACAATTCTTACTTTTAGGTGAAAAGGTCCATCCATGGAAATACTGGAACAGGGATGGGGGAGATGGGAACAAAGTGATTCTCCCATACAGGACTATTGTGGATGGAAGGAAAATTCTGGACAACAATGTCCCCTGTTCCCAGAATTTCCCCTCTATGGGTCTCTCACTGGTGTGGCACTGACATTTCCTGGGATAAGATCACGAGGATTTTATCCTTCATATTATTTTTCCAGCGGGTCCCGGTGCTGCCGGAGCTGCCCAGCGGATCCCGGAGCTGCCCAGCGGATCCCAGTGCTGCCCAGCGGATCCCGGTGCTGCCCAGCGGATCCCGGTGCTGCCCAGCGGGTCCCGGTGCTGCTGGAGCGCTGGATGTGACACAGCAGCAGATCTGAACCGTGGCTGATCCGTGCAGGCGCAGAACTGGGATTTATCCCTTCCTGATGGTGGAATGAGCCCAAATCCACTGCTGCAGGGGCTGTGTCTGCTCAGATTTGAGGGTTTATCCAGCGGTTCATCCCCTCCTGGATAATTCCAGCGTCTGGTTGTCACTGTGGATTTGTCTGCCTTCAGCTCCCAGAGTGAGACTTTTCCATCCTCCCTGCCTCGATTAGAGGCTGTTTAATATTCCCCTGAAAGTTCTTCGCAGTCACCTTCAGTTTCCAGGGAAGTGGAGCGGACTGTGCTGCTCAGCGCTGCAGCCAGGAGCCAGGGAGTGTTTGTGCTGCCGTGCCCAGGGCTGCTCTGGGTCCCTGGAGTTTTACTGCTCTCCTGAAGGACCGGTGGGTCCTGGGGGTGGGAGCGCCCTGCCCTGCCCAGGCTCTGCGAGCGGCAGGGGGGTGGTCAGCAGGGTGGGGACCCCCGCAGTGGCACCCAAAGGTGTCCCAGCCCCTTCCTGCAGCTCTGCCGTGCTGTGACGGTGGCTCTGCCCTCCTGGGCACAGCGGAACCCAGCAGTGCCCGGCCCCTGGGCTGGCACTGCTGGAGCCCGAGAAAGACCCTGAGGGGCTGGAGAGTGTCCAGGGAATGGAGCTGGGAAGGGGCTGGAGCCCCAGGAGAGGCTGAGGGAGCTGGAAAGGGGCTCAGCCTGAAGAAAAGGGGGATCAGGGGGAACCTTGTGGCTCTGCACAGCTCCTGACAGGAGGAGACAGCCAGGGGGGTTGGGCTCTGCTCCAGGGAACAGGGACAGGACAAGTGGAAACAGCCTCAGGTTGTGCCAGAGGAGATTTTGGATATTGGGGAAAATATTTTCATGAGAAGGGCTGCCCCACTGTGTTTCTGCCAGTGTTCATGGTCCCCTCCTTCTGGTTCCTCTTCATTCATCATTTCACCTTTCCTCAGTGTTTCTCCACATTTCTGCCCCCATGACTGGGCTGAGCCCCCTCCTGTCCCTCCGGCCTTGCTGGGATTGCTGCCCCTGAGCTCTGGTCAGGACCTCCACCGTGCCCAGGGGGGTTTAATCCACCTTGTTCCATTTGCAGCCTCTTTTCCCTGAGCCCACATATTCAGACAGTCCCGCTGCTCTGGGGCTGTGGCCAGAGAGGGGTCACAGAGGGATTCTGCCCCAGTGGGGCACTGGGGACACCGGGACACCACCCCAGACACGGTGTCCACCCCGTGGCGTCCCTGGCTCGTGCGGAGGCAGCGCTGATGGGACCCACCCAGCCAGCGCAGGAGAGGGTCCCGGGGCCCTGCAGTGTGCAGGCGGACACCTGGAGTGGAACAGGTCCCAGCTGTCACCAAAATCCATGCGCTGGCCTGCGCTGGCCGGCGGCATCGGGTCACAGCAAGGAGTGCAGAGAGCCGCGGTCCCGTGAACGCTGGTCACGCTGTGAGGACAGCAGCCGTGCCGTGTCCTGGGACAGCGCAGGACGTGGGCTCTGCGTGGGACCCAGCTGCTCTGCACAGCCGCTGCTGCTGCGGCTCGGGATGGGATTAGCGGCACCCCCGTGCTCCAGAGCTAGATTAGAGCGCTGCAGCTATTCCGGGGAAGCTGCTGCCTGATCCCCGCCCAGAGAGAGCTGTCCCTGTCACTGCAGGGCGATGTGAACACCTCTGTCCCCCAAGCAGTGCTGCCGTGCAGCAAAGTGCCGATGCGTTTGGAGCAGGAGCCGCAGCTCTGCGGGGTGCACAGGAGGACAGCAGCCCGAGCTCCCGGAGACGGACGGAGTTTCCCGCTCCCCTTAGTCTGGGTAAGAGGAGCAGGGTCCCAGCAGGGTCCCCAGCTGTGCTCTCAGCTCTCACAACAGACATGTCCCCACAGAAAGAAAGCCCCGGGTTTTATTGCAAGAGCGATCAAACACCTCCGTGTCCCAGGCCCTGAGGAGCCACAAAGCCCTGGAGAGCCCCCAGGACCCCCTCTCTGCCCATTTTGCTCGGGCACTGACTGAAGCTCAGCTCTGGGCCTTGGCCTCCCCTCAGCTCTGTTCTGGGGGTGCTGCTCTCCAGCCCCACGTACTGGGTGGACATTGGGGGTCTGCTGTGGGACCCTCCTGCTGCCCTACGTGGGCCTGGCACTGTCTGGTGTCATGGAATGTTTCGGGTGGGACAGGACCTTCACACCCATCCTGCTCCACCCCCCTGCCATGGGCACCACAGGTACCAGGGTGGCTGGTCTGGGGCTGCGAGCAGCGGCACGAAAGGAGGGGGAGGAAGAGGAAGAGAAGGAGGAGGAGGTAGTGGAGGAGGTGGCAGCTCCTCATGGCAGCTCCTCTTGACATTAGCACCGGTTTGAGGCACTCATGAAGTGCAGCGTCAGATGGAAGGGCTGCAGATGGAGCAGAGAAAGTTCAGGATCTGAGGTGAAATCCATCCTGAAAAGCATTTCACATCTTCAAGTGGCCCGTGTCTGCAGAAGGCAGGTGGTTGCCCATCCCTGAGGGAATGTCTGCCCCTGAAAGCCTCGGCTTGTCCCCACCCGCTCCTGCCTTTTCAGCATATTGAGCTCCTCTCCTGGGTTTTCCCATCCCTTTGCTAAGCCCCAGCTCCATCTGTTTGCCCTGCTCCCCCTGCACCTCTGCGCCACTCCAGGCTCCAGTTCCCCAGTGCTGGTCCCGGGGCTGACTGGGGGTCCTGCTCCACAGGGGCTGGCAGGGACAGGGCCCATCACACAGGGCAGGGCTGGGCGATGCTCCATCCCATGTCTGCCCGTGCCTCAGCCCTGCCCTGTGTCTCCTGTGTCTTCTGTGTCCTGTGTCTCAGTTCTGTGCCCTGTGCCCTGTGCCCTGTGCCCTGTGCCCTGTGCCCTGTGCCCCATGCCCTGTGTCTGTGCCCTGTGTCTGTGCCCTGTGCCCTGTGTCTCAGTTCTGTGCCCTGTGTCTGTGCCCTGTGTCTCAGCCCTGTGCCCTGTGTCTCCTGTGCCCCGTGCCCCGTGCCCAGTGCCCCGTGCCCTGCTGGGTGGTGGCAGGCGCAGGGACCGTGGGGTCTGTGCTGGGGGGTGTTGGTGGCCCAAGGAGAGCCGAGCTGTCAGCTCAGGGTGGCCTGTCAACAGCCTGGGCGTGGGGGCGAGCAGCCGGGTCTGCAGGGCCACACATCCCTGCCAGGGGAGAAGGAGCAGGAGGCAAAGGAGGAGAAAGAAGAGGAGGAGGGCTCAGGGGATGTGGCCTTGGCCAGAGCCCGCCTGTCAGGGGAAAGCTCTGGGCTGCTGCTTCAGCCAGGTGAGGGTGAGGGAGGGATAAGGGATGGTGTCCCCTCCCTCACCTGGGATAAATCCTGGAATCCCTGACTGAGGGTGACGGGGTGCAGGCAGCTGCACGTGGGGTGTCTGGACATTCAAAGTTGCTGAAATGGAGACAATTTATAAATGTTTATGTGATAACTGACTGAGGGCAGGGTTTAGTGGGATCCTGGGGAGAAATTCTTCCCTGTCAGGGTGGTGAGGCCCTGGTGCGGGTTCCCCAGAGAAGCTGTGGCTGCCCTATTCCTGGAAGTATTCAAGACTGGGCTGGAGGGGGTGTGGGGCAATCTGGTCTGGTAGGAGGTGTGACTGTCTGCAGAGGAGTGGAACGGGATGGGCTTTAAGGTCCCTTCCCACTCAAACCATCCTGGGATAATGATGATGCTGAGGATGATGGAAGAAGATGGAGAAAAAGGCCATAAGCAAGGACCAAGAGACCCAAACAAAAAACAGGCTGGAGAAAGGCCATTGCACAGCCAGGCACTGTTGTGTTGAGGTGCTGGGATGGCCTTGCATAACCCATGTGGATGTAATCCCCTCAGACATGTCAGGGAAGCTCCTGCTGAACAGAGCTAGGACTGATCTTTCAAAGAT